CTGCAGTGCCATCCCAAGCAAGTTTCTGGCCAGCACACGTGAAGTCCTCCAGCCAATGTCACACGTCAGCGAAGTCCCATCTCACAGGAATGAGTCTGCCTGACCGTTTCTGCTGCTCCCGTTATTTACTTGAGAGCAGCTAGAAAGCTTGGCTTGGGCGCAGGTGGGGTTTCGGGGCGCAGCCCCTGAGGCCACCTTTCCATTGTGCTCGCAGCAGCAGGAGACTTGACCGGCACTGCCCCGGCCGCCCCATCTACTGAATCAGGGTCTGCATTTGAACGATCAGGTGGTTACGTGCACATTAAACTCTGAGAAGCACTATTCTAAAATAATTTAAAATCTGACGCTTTGGGGAGCCTACCCACAGTCAGTAAAATTGTCCCTAATCATCGTAGAATCTCCTCAAAACTCAGCTCTCTTGGGATGGTATTTTTTACAGTTCATTTGAACAGAGTTGCCGCTCAGAGTGAGAACTAGAGCAGATAATTTGTTTTTGTTAATTTGTAACAAATGTGTGAAGCAGATTTGGGGCTAAAACAGAATTTCCAAGATTTTTGCCTCTTGGCTGTAAGAAGCTAGATATAATGTACTTCCTTTCACCTTTTAGAATTTAAAGCCCCCGTAGCAAAGAATTATGTATCTCTGCATCTGTTGCCTTTTTACCACGTGTAAGACGTAGCTATGATTCCGTAGTGACAGCTAGAAGCACTCCGTCAGACGAGCCCTGTTGTGTCACGTCCACTCACCCTGTGCTTGGTATCTGGGGGCTCGCTTTGGGACAGAACAGACTACCAGGTAAGCTCTGCCTCAGGGCCTTGTCACCTTACTTGTGGCCTTCCTGTGAGTTCAGGATGGCTACACTCTCGTGATCAGGATCCCTCAGTCCCCATGTGGTCATCCTCTGAGCCATCGACGCCCCACTCCTGCTTGGTAAAAGTTGCAACTCTTCAGTCTTCAATAAAGTCTTGAAATCTGAACTTTTTAAAAGCCCTCCAGGTGATGAAACTCAAACAGATGTGGAACCATCGCTCTAAAGTATGATATATGCTCAGGATTCAGGCCCATCTAGAAGCGTCCTCTAATGGAGTGGATTGACTTCTTCTGCATTCCAGATGCCTCTTGTTTCTCGTTTACTGGAGGGTAACATGAAAACAAAGTAAATCCATAACTAAATATAATATACTTGTATTACACTTAATGATATTTACTGTTCTCTAGAATGATTGTAAGTTTTCCATTGTTATTTGTGAACGGCCAGGGGCTGGGGGCCCACAGCACTAAAATTCTGGCTGTAACTACAGCTGGACTGTACTCATAGGCAGAGAAAGTTCCCCTAAAGACAGCTGCTGGTGGCCCCTGAAATAGGACTTTCCTGGAAACGGAGTTAAAGGGGTAACTCTAGCTGTAAGCACTTCTGGTCCCTCATTCTTTCTTTGTTCAGTAAATACTTATCAAATGCCATCTTATTTTAGGCACTGTATAGTCTGCACCAGAGTCATGAAAATAAGTAAGACTTAGTCCTTGACCTTGAGTTCCCAGACTACCCGAGTAGCAGAGGTGTACGTGTAAATAATTAAGAGATGTTTGCTCTTGTTGGGCGTGGAGATATGGTGCAGGCCACGCCCACGAGCAGACCCAGTGGGAAGGGGCCTGGCAAGGAGATGAGCACAAATGTGTCACCTCAGACACCAGTCACACCCATCGTGGCCGCCCTATCCAGCAGCCGTGTCAGGAGCATCTAGCTTCAGAGCAGACCAGCTGGGCTTATCTTGTTATCTTACAAAACAAAAAAATCTGCTTCTCTACAAATATTTCTGGGTTGGTGACCTGGGCCCCCATTTGTACGGTCTCCCCAGCCAGAAACCTGGCAGTTTCCTGGTCTCCTTGTCCTTCAGCCCCTGTGGCCAACCAGTAATCAGGAACAGTCAGTGTAACCTCTGTGGCCTCTGCTCTGTCCGTCCATCTCCTCTAAGCACCGCTAACCCAGCTGCCTCGCACAGGCCTCACTCGGACGCTGCAGTCCGTCCCCACCGCGTCACTGCCAGTCGACGGCCGGGCTCCTCGCTGCTGCCCGAGCCAGACCCGTGGGGCCCGACCCTGGCCCTACCACCTACCGGCTGTCAAGGACAAGTCGCCCAGCCGCTCGGTGCCTCAGTTCCCTCAACTGTAAAATAGGGTTAGAAATGGAATCTCTGCCATAGGATTATTGTGAGGGTTACTTGAACTAATATGTACATGTAAAGTGATTGGCAATGCCCGGCACAAAGTCAGCACCCTGTGGCGCTGGTCATGGTGGGTTAACGAGATGTGTGTGCCCGCTAAGTACACTGGGACTCACCTTGCTTTCCAGGGACTGACGGTGTGAAAGCAGGAAGAAGAGGCAAACAGATCAACAGATTACTTCCTATGATCAATGCCGTTAGAAATTTGAGCACAACAGTAAATGAATAGGGAATCAGAGAAAACTATAAAAAATGTTCTATTAAAATGCTTATTTTCTGGAGTACTCAGTAACTCAAGTCCCCGGATACGTAATACAGTGCAGTACCTCCCAGTCCATAGGAGGTTTGCGTGTTCCTGATTCTGTTCCTGTTTCCCTTCTCAGTGGCCGCAGGCAGTGTGGTCCTCCCGTGTGTGAGCATCTGGGTCCACTCCCTGAGGAGCGATCTGAAAAACAGGGAGACTGGACGTGGAACAACACAAGGGGGAAGAGAGGAACCAGGGAAGAGTTTTCAGGAAAGCCTTGGGGAAGAACAAAGCCAGCGGTCCAGACTGACCAGACAGACCAGCCCCGCGGGTTCTGGAGGGTGTGGGCCCCTGACATTTCAGAGCTGCTGGCAGTGCGGGTGTCCGGGTGACTGCAGGACTCTAGCAGACCACACACACGTCCGCGTGGCTTGTAAATGCGTGCAAATTCACAACAGTGTTGGATGTACGCACTCCAGAAGAAACACAGATGGGGGTGTGCCTTTGGGTGCTGGGCGCACAATAATGTAGCATTTGACTCTAGACTCAGCTTCTGTGTTTAGGCCACTTGCTAACACTGTGACTTTGGAAAATTACCTAACTTTCCTAAATCTCAGTCCTCTCATCTGGAAGACGGGTGTTATGTGAGTACTAACCAAATCAGGTACTTAGGATTAATTGAGAAAGTTCCCTAAAACATTTTGCTGGTACTTTACAAATAACTAACACCTAGTAATGTTCGTTCTTGCTGTTAGTGATGGCTGTTACTACGTTTTTCCTGCAGTCAATCAGAATTAATTTATAGATACCTCAATCAAATTTGAGGGAAAGCTATATAATATAGTACTTGTTACTTCCTAGATGGCAGGTCACGTTTTCTTTATTTAGAATATGCTGCCTTTCGTTGTCCTACTCTAGTGCACGTAAAATATTATGAGAGTTTCATAAGCATATTATTTTTGCCTCTTTCCCAAAAAAAAATGCGGGTTTATTCCCACAGAATTTAACCTACAACTGAAGAACTATAGAATTCAAAACTTCTTGCTTTCATTACTTAATAAACAATTGCGAACACACCAATTTTGTTAACAGTGCTTCTGAAGTGCTTGTATATTTCAGGCATTCTCCCCGTTGTCATGTGAACCCTGTTTTCACCTTTTCTGGTATTAAGTAATTTCATGGAACTCAGACAAACAGTTTGATCTGGCACAGTTTAATATGAGCGGGGGGTCGGGAGTGATGTACTAGGGGACATCGCCTGTGCGGCAGGCACCCTCCATCTGCAGCTCAGGTGACTCCTGCTCCCACAAACCCTGCACATGCTCTGTCTCTGTCTCTTTATCCTTTAACTTACTTGTATCTTCAAACAAATTGTGAGCACGTTAGCCTTGGTGGCAAGGATCGTGTCATGCAGCGTCACGCAGGAAAGACCAGCACGCCGTGCATGCTCAGCTGAGCTTTGTTAAGTGAGTCGGTGCTGCCGTTTATACACGTCTCTTATCGGACTCGGAGGCCGTGGTCAGCAGCGCACACCACGAGCCAACTCAATGGATTATTCAATTGAGAGTCCCTTAGAAATAACGTGAAGTAAGATAAAGACGAGAAATGGAATGTAACAGTGGCATTGATAGTAACCTAACTCCAGAGGCCTGTCTTTCTTTCCGAAGGTTTCCTGGCCTTCCTCAGATGCCGGCGCCTCACCCTGCCTAGCTGGCTGGTACCAACTACTCAGTCGCCTGCTTTAGGTGACAGCCGTCTATCCCAAGAGACCAAAGAGGGTTCCTGACACACCTGGCTGTCACCTGAGGCCCTGAATTCAGAACTACAGACCTTACACCTCAGCTCTTAAAGATGCTATGAGTGATGTTAGGAAAAGGAACAGACAGGACAGACGTGTGCCATGTGTTTAGTAATTGAGCAGTCATCTCTTGTTCACAGGAACTTGAATTATGATGCATGACTGTGTAGTGAGAACATGGTAAATGTAAAGTAACATCGAGAACTGGCATCAGGGCCACCCAGCACATGCCGTGCCAGGCCATTGCAGGGCTCTTCTTTACACGTGACGGATAATCAGAAGTGGGCGAGGCTTTGCAGGTGCAGCTGGAAGCGGCTTGAAAGTGCTTGGCTTCATCATCTGGAGCCTCGGCACAGGCTGTTTCCTTCCCATAGCATGATGATGCTCAGCCACAGGTCACGGCTGGGCCTTCGATCCTTAACCCAGCAGCCTTGCCCCCAGCAGCCCCGGGACCTGCGGCCCTTGGCCGGCGTCCAGCAAGAAGGCTTGAACAGCTACCCTGACCAATGGGCTTCCCCCATTTAAGCCGGCAACTAGGGAGTTTGAGGCGCTGTGCAGTGCCCTCGCCTCCGGACTGCAGAAGCTGCCGAAGATGGTGATGCAGCCTCCCGCTCCCTGGCGCGCTGTGGTTTTCTTTGTGGAGACATGTAAATAGCTTTAGGATCCTTTTAATGCAGAAACCGTCCTTCTGAAGAGAGTTGGTTTCAGCTCTTGTTTCTTTTTTTCTCTCTCCCAGACAGCAAGGACTGTATCCTGGAGCCGCTGTCCCTGCCAGGAGGCCCAGGTGGCCCCACCACTCTCGAAGGCCCCTCATTTGTGCCGTGTATTTTCTGTGAAGAATGTGTTCCCGTGGCCGAACAGGACCAGCTTCTGAAGCACATGATTATTGAACATAAGATGGTCATAGCTGACATCAAATTGGTTGCTGACTTCCAAAGGTAAGTTTTGTTTTTGTGAGTAAAGGAATTAAATTTATTTTTCACTAGAGAGAAAGCATAATACATGTATATAAATATGCCTATATGACTGTGAAAAATGTATATTCTTTTTCAGGTTTCTCCTTAGATTTTTTTTAAAAAGTCTTTGCACTCCTTTGCCTTCTTGAGTGTGTAAGTTGTTTTTGAAAATGCCACATACTGTTGCTTGTCCTACAAATTCTGGAAACAGACCAGCTTTCCAAAGAGTAGGCGATGACTCTTCTCTGCGTTCCGCAGGACTCTGACGTTGTTAGTCTCTATCACGCTGGCTTGTTTGTTTGTTTGTTTGATTGATTGATTGATGTTTCAAGCCACAGCTATTCTCCAGCTGAGTGAGCTCTCCCGGGCAGTCCAGAGTAGACTTGGCCACCAGAGGGCAGTGTCTGGGGACAGGGCTCCTTGGAGCTTTTCCAGCCACAGGGCTGTTGCCCAGAGGGGTCTCAGCTTAAGTGCCTTGATGAGGTTGAAAACCAGGAAAGAACCCACCTATTCGACAGGCCAGGAGGGTTTAAGGGTAGACAGCTGTTGAGGTCGGTGACTCAGAGACTGAGAGGGAGAGGACGAGGGAGATGAGCAGATGGAGGCGCGTGGTTGGGGACCGCGAGCACCAGGCGAGTGTGATACATAAGAACTTGCCCTGCACGCCAAGGCCCAGCGTGAGCTAGACGACCCCCACGCGCACCCGACGTGGGAAGACCCACACCAGCAGACGAGCAACGCGGGCAGGTACGCCTTTCCTCCCAACTCATGATACCCAGAGGAGATCGTCCAAGAGAAATGCCTTCTCCTGGGCAGCTGTGGCGGAGCAGTTATGTTCATGTCATCATTATTTGAAACTTAACAAGCGCTTTCCATAGAAACAGCATGGCGGTAGCCACCGGCTTTATACAGTCGCTAAAAGCATACATTTCGATATATCTGATATGGTCTCATTTTGAGATGTTCCAGTTTCCCTGCACAGCATTGGAGCGGCCCAGACATTGTAAGATCCCTGCATCTAAACTCCGTGTTGCCCGGACCACACCCTTCCGAGCAAGAAACAGCCTTCTCATGGTGGGCCTTGCAGAGCAGCAAGTGTGTTATAAATGAGTAGACTGTGACCCCAGCCAGGCCTACAGTTGAATACAGACTTGGCGACTTCCTACCATGTGACTCCCAGCAAGCTACTAACCCACTGTACGCATCAGTACCCTTCTCTGTAAAACGGGGGAACACCAGCCCTCATAGGTTGTCAAGTATTATTAAAACAGGATGTGTATAACACCTGCTGTGTCATTGATATGAAATCTCACCCATATGCAGGCAGGAAAGTCACATTGTTTAATAGGTCTCAGGTCTTAGGAGTCAATAATTAAAGGTTGGGCTGAATCACCGTCGAAGGGCAGTTATGTAATAAAATGGATACTTTAATCAAAAAGAAAAACATGCATATCTGATGTAAGTACTTAATAAATAAAGTGTATAGTTAACATGTACTTTAAATTTAGAAACCTAGATCCTGCTTGTCAGCTGTCCTCCTAATTAAGTAAAAGTCTCACTCTCGGGAAGGAAAAATGTGCTTAATTCAAGTTGACCAGGAATGTATATGAGCGAACTCTGTTGCTGTACATACCTTGCAGTATATCCAGCCTCCCTTAGATTATACACTCCTACTGTTTAGGGAGCCTGAAATTTCTTCGAACAGAGCTGAATTGGAATCTTCTCAACATTGAATGACTGTTTCCTAACATCAGAAAAGCAGTCATAGAGGGGTTGGGGGCTGGGGATGGACAGAGCAGTAAAAGGTCAATTGGCATGAGTTAATTCACTGAGAACTTCTTTACAAGGTGAATCACACACACACACACACACACACACACACACACACACACACACACACACAGCTTCTCAGCAGTTAGTTGTTGCTTCTGAATACAACAAGTAATAAAGATGATAAATAATAGATAAGAGATAGACTTAACCCTATGCTTTATAAGAAATAAGCTATAAGTTTTCATGTTAAATATATGTGATGTTTTCTTTATTGGAGCAAAGTAACAATAAGACTTTCTCAGGCAGAGGGAAGAAGACAAAAACAAGAATAAAAATCTTTCCTATGAGCCATTTAACATAGTTATTTATACCGAGTAATTTGCTATCTTTATTCAGTAGATAGAGTTTTTCCAGAAGATAAATGTTAACTCCTTAATTCTTACCCCTTTCTATATTAAATTCCATTCATTTAGTGCTACTTAATTAACACCCATATCTCAAATCTTTATGCCTCTGTCAGTAAACACACCAGTTAGAGTGGGGGGCTGGTCAGGCAAGATATCGCCACAAGGATTTTTTGTGACACAATTTTGTGAAACGTGATTGAAGTTCTTTCAAGAAATAAAAAGCATTTGCTGATGACCTAATAATTACTTGTATGGCTTTAATAAAGTATGACATGCTTTGATAACTCATCCAAGTAACAAGTTCATACCACATATTATTACTTGGCATCTTTATTGAGTGGCTACAATTGTAGTTTTAAATAAACTAGAGAAATAGAAAAAATTACGAGATTCACTAAATGGTCTCTTAATGCTGAAATTTATGTTTTAATGAGTGGGAAGAATGCCACAAGAAGAATTTATTGAAGACATATCTTTAAGCCGTCCCTCAATTGAATACAATTTATCTGATTGCTTCTAGCAACCATAGGGAAATGTATATATTGACACCTCTTAAATTTAATTATAAACTAAAAAAGTACTATTAGGTGTTTAACTGGGGTGCATCTTAAATTTAGACTTAGGTCAAATGTATGTTGTACTTCAGATCTATGTATGTAATATACTACAATAAGACACAGTACATAATTTTATATATGTCAGTCACATGGTAATTTATCATCATATTTTGCTTTTGTCACATGATTTTTTTCTCTGCTGTCATTGTCACCCAACCTCTGGTCAGGAAGAGAACGTTCAGATGGCAGCTTTGCACCAGACCTATTACCTGCTTTATGCCCCTTCCCTCAGAAGCTACCTGACAGGATCTCAGAGATGGTATCTGAAAAAACACTTCCAAGATTCATGCTCCTCGTTCGTGGAGCAATGAAATAAAAAACCTTCTGCCCAACTGAGTGCAGAGCAGGGTCTTTCTCCGCCCTCATCCGCGGGAAGCCCTCCCGCAGTACCTGAGGGCAGCTGAGGCTCTGCTGGGGAGACTGTCCCCAAGATTCAAAGTCAGTTAATGTCGAATCGCTTGCCTTGTGCCTGCCACCTGGAGGTAAACTTGGACACAAATGAGTAGGCGATGTAAACCTTCTCTTCAACAGTCAAGGAGACAACACCCAAACGTGGGCGTCCTGGGAGACCGAGCCCCATGGACTGTTGGGCTCGGGACATTGTCACCTCCGTAGAGGCACTTCTTTGCTCCTCTCACTTCTCAGGCAGTCCCAAAACCACAGCCCGGACAGCTGGTGTCACCTGTCAGCACTCAGGCAGGAGGTTAGGGCGGTTCAGACCAAGGGCTACTATTCTAAGATCACGCACTTTTTGTAAAAGCGAAGATATTTCCTTTTCCTTCAGATTTTCATTTCCGTAGTTCAGTTTTGTCTTATCAGAATGCATTCTCCTTGGTCTCTAAGGAATCAAATACTTCAGATTTCCATTACAACTATAATTCTAGGGGCCTTTCCTTTACCTGCCTCGCCTTTTCTGCGATTCTCGTGTAGACGGGTCTTCTCGTGACACTAGAGGGACTGTGTTGTGAAATCTTGAGTTTGGGTTTGGAGCCGGGAAAGAGCAAGGTCAGATCCCAGTTCTGACATTCCAGCAGTGCGGCCTAGGGCAGGTACAGGTTCAGTAAGTGGTGGCTGCTGGGAATTGTCATCTTCATCCTCGTCATCACTGCCCTCTTCCACTGCCTTAGCCACCTCTGTGTGCCCTCTGGTACTATTTATATACCTATTTTAATTTGCTCATTAACTATTTGATGAAATGTTACTATTGTTTTTGTTGTTTTAGACACCAGTATTTTTCTGGAATAAGCATAAATTCTCTACTACTCTAAGTATGTTACTTTTTCTAATAATAACTACCATTTATTAAACACTCAGCCTGTTGGACACTGCTTCATATATATTATCCTATTTAATTGTCACCAATTTATTTTGAAAATGAGTAAACTGAGTTTCAGAAAGATTACAAAACTTTAAATGCAGGTTTATCTCTCTGAACACAGAGTCCCTGTACCTCTGTTCGCTGTTGCCTGCAGGGCTAATGGAGTCATTTTGAGGGTTTGATCACAGTCTTAGTCTGAAAAGCAAACTCTTTCTAGCGCCAGACCTGTGCAGGTACGAGACTTATTGTATCGACTCTTCATTACAAAATAACTCAGTGACTGTCCAAAGGACAGTCTGGTCACTAGCACCAGCTCTCACGTGGTCGTCCACTCTATGTGCTTTCACACAGATGTCTTGCTGAGTCTCTAAACATTTTCCAAAGGTGAGCAGCCTGGGCATTCAAGAAACTGTCACTGCCTTTTAACACCTGGAGACCCACGGTGGACCGATGTTATAAAAGGCTGACCGCTGGTCTCAGTTTTGGCCAGAGGCTATCACCCCGTGGTCCTCAGGGGTGACAGACCTGTCCTTGGTGTATTCTAGTGGTAGCTCTGAGGGAACCCCAGGTAGAACTTGGTGCTTCTGTTTTGTCCGTTAACTCAGCACCTGGTTCTGCCGTTAAGAATTAACGTTAAGAAAAAGAGAGGTAAGGAAAAGAAGGAAACGAAATATTAGGAGACGGAGGCTGCTTAGTGAAACTGACAGGAATCTTCAGATGCTCTTTTACCTCTTTAAAACATGTGTCGTGGACCCACATTGCGCAAAATACTGCTAAGTACTATATCGGGCCATTTAAAATGTCCAAATTCCTGCTCTTTCTGTGCGTTCCATCTGTTTCGGTAAACCTCGTCTCTGTCACAGGTTTGGTTCTTCATTGTTTCTTTGCGTAATCCATCAGATGTGTAACCTGATAAACCATTGTTGAGCCCAAGAGAGAATGTACCTTTTAAGAAGGGCTCCTGGTGGCCAATGGAGCTCAAATTTAAAAACAAAGCTTAGCAGCTGTTGCTGAACAGGTTCCTGTCACACAGGCCATGCTTCAGAGAGAAGCCCGCGCGGACCTGCTTGCCCGCACTGTGTTCCTGGCTCCGAGCCAGCCCTTCTAAAGGAGCCCCTGGAACCCTGTTCCAGCCAATAGGGCTGAGACTTTCCCCCTCCAGTCAGATTCACAGCTGTGTCATCATTAGCATCTTCACCAACCAGTCAGGAGGACAGTGCTATTCGAACCACTCAAACTATGAGGATTTGCAGTCCTCACATGCACAGAGGTGGGCCGGCCAGGGACCAGGTACAGGCACTGTACGTAAGTCAGCCTACCCTCCCCCTCGGCGGGGCCCCCTTTCAGCTTCCATCACAGGCCTCCTTTCCCCACTAGAGCCGCAACATCCTCTGAGCTGTCTCAGAGGACAGAACAGCCACCGCGCCCGGCCGCCTCGCAGCCGTGCTGGTCCACAGTCGCGCCGTATTATAATCGAGCCGTGTCCCTGCAGAGCTGTCCACAGCATGCTGTTCCACAGCTGAGCTGTTCGCATCGAATAAGGCCCGCCCCTCTGCCGTACTCCAAATCGGGGGTTTCTGTTGGTGCGGAATTGGCACCAGTGACCGTTGGTTGACATTGTCAGCTGTAGCGTTAACCTTTCTATTTCCTTTCTTCCCACGAAGGAAAGAGACCACATTCTCTGGGTACCATTCGATGAATGAGGTTGCAGTTGTCAATAGAGATCTTGTTAACAAATGGAAAGATGAACGAGCAGCTTGTTGAACCCCGTCATCTTTCTCACTCTCATCAGATACGCAGGTCTGGGGGTATGCTCTTCTTTTAAATTTAGCCACGATGCTCATCAGATGTAAGAATTATAAACTCGACTGTTTTTCAAAGGCTAAATTTGGCTAACATCAGACCCAGTGTGGACATACGGAATTTTTCTTTCTTGTTACATAGACAGTGAATTTAGGCTGACTTCTCACTGCATTATTATCATGGCTTCTGCACTTTGATGTATAACCACCCAACTTTCAATTTATTGAAAAGTGTATATTTTAAGTTCATATAAACTTGGATGCAATTTCAGGAAAACTTCATTATCACATAAAATAATTCACTTTAGCTTTCCCAAAGGTCTGTTTATTGAATTTGGGGATAGTAAAGTTTAATCATTTTGTTGCCTTTACTGGATAATTTCATCTCATTAAATATTTCCTATTTCTACAGCGCTCTCCTGCCTTTCTATTTAAAAATTTTCTAGCAGTTTTCAGTCAACATTTGATTGGTTTCTTTGAGATAATTAAACGTTCTTATAAAATTCTGTCATTATAGAGAAAGTGCTATATTGAGTCTTCTCAACATTTTTTCTTTTTGGTTGTTCTAAGGTACGTTTTATATTGGAGGAAAAGATTCACTGAACAGCCCATCACAGATTTCTGTAGTGTGATAAGAATCAATTCCACAGCCCCTCTCGGTAAGTGTGCATCTTAGCGACCATCTTTTCCTTACGATCCAAACATTCAAAGGAATCATCTCACTTCCTTAAGTTAGAATTCTCTCTCTCATGATAGCTAAAATTAAATTGCTGTGTTTATGTTGCCTAACTTCAATAAAGCTGAAAGCATATCTGTATACCAGAAGAGAGATCCTAATAGACATAGATATAGACACAGATTTTTTAAGAAATCTTTCTGGAAGAAATGATAAATATTGTTTCTTATTTATTTTTCTAATTTCTCAACAGAAGAACAGGACAATTATTTTCTGTTATGTGACGTTTTACCAGAAGATAGAGTACTTAGGGAAGAGCTTCAGAAACAAAAACTGGTAAGAATTCTTTTAAAGCATGAAGAGTCTGTTGGAAATGTATACAGAATCATTGTTGTTATTATCGTTCTTTTTTTGTTACTTTTAATTTTAGAAACTTTCAAACATTCAGAAAAGAGGAGACAATACATCGAGATCTTAAAACAGAAAAAAGAAAGTATGCACTTGATTGAAGATTAAAGCATTTCATGTTAAAAATGCAGAGAGAATTTTTGGCTTTGTTTTGCTTCCTGGATTATCTCTAAAATAACAACAAAGCTTACACATTTAAGTGTAATTTTAGCTGCCTGCCTCATGCTAGG